TACGTTGCCCAGGGTGCACCACGTGGAGGTAAGTCTATCACACACCCCAGTTCAAAACATTGTATTTGCCTTTCCATTACCTTTGGTTTACTCTTGAATGGCTACCTTTATGTTAATATCTGGAACGTGAATTGCTTTTCCTTGGTTTCGCAACACACTATGGTCTTTTCTTATGTTACCGGATGGTCCTAAGAGTAAAATAATGCAAGTAGTGATTTGGGCATATTTCTCTGTCATTTCTTATTTCACTGTTTTCAAAGCGATTGCTTTGGCGAAAAGAAATTTCATCAAAGTTGTAAATTTTATCAATTTTAGGTCAAGTGTGTATTTCGCACTCTAGGATAACATAGTAGGTGATTATATGGCACTATACTATACTATAAGCTCGTTCGATGTTAAATAGCGCGACAATAGTTTAATAAATAAATCTTTGTGAATATTTATTAATCAAAATTTATATATTAAAAGTCTTAACATTGAAAATCAAAAATGGGTCTTTTGAATTTGCTTTTCTGTTACCTAACTTGAAAATTAGAAGATCATTATAATAAAAATAATACACATATTTAATATAAAACCAAAATGTATACACGGTAAAAATGTTATGTTTGATTAAATTCAATTTGATTTCTTGTTTTCAATGCAAAATAATTCAAAATCTTACAGTAGCAACGCCTAGATATAGGACATGCAAACAATAATTACATGACAATCAGAGTAAGTAAAAATAGTTCAGGCAGGATGCTAAATTTCTCAAATAAAATGTTCCACTTTTCATCAAAATCTATTTGTTTCAGGACCAAACCATAAGGAACAATGTTAGGGATTGCATTCAAAACACTTGTTTATCTGTCTATTCATTTATCAAAATTTTTCCCCTAACGCACAAGAGAATAATTTAATATCTCCTTACATTTCATTTTACAAGTTTCATCTTTTTACTGATATAATCGATATCGATTCATTTTAGGAATTTGAAGCAGATCCTACATAAATAAGCATTGACAAATCCCTTTGTATTGTGGGACACGTTATCGCTTTGTGCGTCATTGTATGCCTGCATGTCTGCTCGCCAGGATTGGGAGGTGCGGCCATACAACTCTGTGTGCAGCGACCGTACAAACAGTGACCAATCATCAACCTCTGTTTAACCTAATCCCCCATCCTGATCATGAGTAGCTCCCTGTGTGTACACATTTTTACTCACAATATACGTACTGAATAAACGTGCTCCGTGCTACGCGTCTGTTTCCTTTATAACTGGGCTATAGCTTAGCTGGTTCTGGGAGTCTAGCTAGATGTTTGAGAATCTGCCATAGAGATTTCTGAGCCAGTCAGGCTTTACTAGCGTAGCAATCCGCTACAGTATGAAATTGTTAATGAAATAAGCTGAGCTACCACAAAAGAATGTATGGTGTGAGTTGCGTTTATTCTGGTTGCATGTCCTGCCACAAAGCTAAGTCATTAAACTATAATTAAAGGTACTCTAACCATGCAGCGACTATTGATTGGTGGTTGGCTGAAAGGCCTCTGCACTGCTCTTGCTCCCTACGGTATTAATAGCATTTTACACCTTCAAGACTCTCGAGTACGCTTCAGATTCGTTTGTTGAGGCATGGTAACTTTGAGTAATTCACAAATTCCAACTCCAGATTGTCATCATGTTCTGCAACTGCTGTCTACTTACTTGCTAGGCTTAAGTATAAGATAACTATATTCTTAGAGTTTGAGCTTACTATAGAAGAAAATATCGGGCACTTCCTGCACTTTCCAATTTGCCACGAATAATTTCTCTATTGTGGTTAAGTATATAGCCTTATTTACCATTTTTAATCAATGTAAGTGGAAGATGTCCCTCAGGGCAAAGAGATTTATAATAGGCCGACCTAATTTTCATCTAAAATCTATTTGTTTCTCTTGATTAATTGTTTACCCCACCTTAAAGTATTATTCAATCTCTAATGCTTTACACTCTATCGTATTGACACATTAACTTATCTCCAGCAAGACATTACCCAGGCGCCTAATTCCTCACTGACACTAACATTTAATAATCTGTAAGTCAATAATTATTTGACAAATGAAACCTGAAATAATGGACACGAATGGAAATACTGCTTCCATTTGACCGTTGGGTTTCTTTATGATAGGGATTTGGAAAAAGGGCCTTTTGATCAAGAATCTGGTTCTACGTGTGCCATAAACCCATATAAGGAGAGACAACGTTCATTCAATACGCAGTTTTCGTTTGCTTAACACTTATCAGGACTACCATCATGAATAAGACACCTCGTAGTTGACAATTTTAAAGGTATAAAGCACTAGCCGTGTTTAACACATAAATTTGGTGGTAGATAATGCTTTTGACCACTGCAGTTAAACTTATCACACATTTAATGCTTTCTTTCTTCATATAACTGAAGGACTGATATAGGTCCTAGGAGAAGGGGTTGAACTTACTTATCTTCTATATCGAATGGAATTATTTTGGCAGTTTTTAGAAGATATGAAGACCGATGACCACCGTTAACTTATCATTGGTCCTTCGTAGTACTACTTTTCACCAAAAGAGTATCAAGAAGAATACGTGGAAAGATGTCTAACGTCAGAAGAGTATCTGTAATATGAACCTTGACCACAACTATAGTTCACTCTAACAACGAAGAATCTCTCCAATGAGTACTGAAGTGATTCACTTGACGATAATTAATTTAATAAGGAGGATTTATGAAAACAAAATTTTTCCCAAATAATTACTCTTTGAGGAATAAACAATTATTAAAATTATGACAGTTTTCTCTAGACCGATTTTCAAGCTATCAATAGGAGTATACGTAGTGATGATAAGGTCAGGCCACATGACGTACATGCATATAATGTCAATCCCTGATTTTGGGACAAATTATGGATATTGAGACATTGAAGGGCGAAAGCACGTTTATAAGTCTACTGCTCACTTAGAACTTCTGAACTTGGAAGATTCAAAACTTTTTCACAACGTATATACCCCTGGAAATTAATTAAATGATAAATTCTTTTTCATTACCCATTATAAAAAATTATTTGATTTATTCAATTCTTAGAAAGAGTGGAGATATTTTTATGACGCCCTTTAAACTGACTGCTAGATAACATTGGATTGCTGATTTCGGATTAGTCACCCCGTGATGCTCTTTAAAGCATCTGTCTAGACGTTGTCTCATCATAAAAAATATCCCTTTTTAGAAAGCTTCCTAAGGAGGTTCTTGCGGGTGCGTGAGAGTTAATTGAAATAAGCCCAGGTGAGTGAGGTATCGAACCAATAAAGCCAGTCAAAGCCCTCAAAAAACCTTAAAAAGTAATTTTGCTTAATGTAATATATCTCAAAGCATGTTGAGTGAATTTTTTGACCAACAAGTTGTGAATCTTGCTCATCATATATACTTTGGCTTCTAAAAGAAGCATGTCTTTCTTTCTCCTCCCTCTTATTTTTTATCAATTATCTACTAGGCTTACAGGTTAACCTTGTTCTTGACTAAGGGTGCCAATATTCTGCTATAAACAGAACTCAAACCCACCTCCTTATCTCTTTTGTCTCCCAATTTAGACAAAAATGGAGTTGAATCATTATTGTGGCCCCATACATGACACTTATAATATTGTCATTCATTCTGACTATATCAAGAGCGATTAAAGACAAATTTTTCATTAAACTCATGGCAATTCCCCCTTTGGAAAGAAAGAACAGAAATTTCGTCCCATACTAAAGTTCCTATTTACCGACACAAAGCATTACCGACAGAAACTAGTACGTTTAGTTGGAACCCTTGAACTAGCTGAGCTATAACGAAGCTATGGAGGAGGGACGTATTACACAGAACACGTTTATTCATGAAGCGCATCGTGAAACATGGAGGATTCGATAAAACAAACGGAGGCTTCCGAGTGGCTATTGGCTGTGCGCGCATGCGATTGATTGTTGAGCTATGACATGTCCCACAAATCACAATCGACTATTTGTTGACAATTAAGGGGAAACAAACTCCCAATATAGTGACATTATTTCTTAATTTTAGAATCCAATTACTCTACTAACAAATATTGAGTAATATTTTCTCTTTCCCTTCATCACAATCCCCTATCATTTCTTGCCTAAAGTTTTCTTTGAAATTAGCAACACAAAATTCTTTGAATGCCATAAGCCAGAGAAAAATGCTGCAGAATTGAAATATCAACACTATTATTCTCTTTGGAATGCTTTGCTTAGCACTCATCTAAATCGAATTCGTTTTAACATTCCTAAATTAAATGTATGAAAATTAGTAAGCAAATCTTCTGTAGATGAATTTTTTGCAAGAAATTAACCTCCGGCCAAAAACGATTAATGTATGTGTCTCAAGTTCTCATCTGAGCACATGTTCATGTGTGCTCACCCATATCACCCACGACACTAACACATCTGATTGGTAGTAGTGAGTGTAACCGCCCAATAAGCAGATATTTATTTGCTCTTATGCTACTCTATGGTCGAGTCCACGGGGCCTTCAAGCTTAATGACAGTTCTGTCAAAAAACTTTTGAGAAGCCATGCATGAGTACCACGTGGGAATTGTTGACGAATCCTTTCCGTATGAAGATAGTGAGCTGGAATATCTTCGAAGACGCAGAGTTCAGGTTTGAACACTTTTCAAGTAATATTGCTTTAAAGATATTTGATTCCTTTGCTACAGAGCTTTTCAGTTTTTATTCACTTTTTAACTCTGTTGATGGGGAATGTATTGTACAGTTTTGACATAGCTGAATATTATTTTTGGACCAGGTTAACTTATAAGGCCACAAAATTATAAGCTTCGCCATTTTCCACCTCGAAAACGCATAAGATAGTGAGTAAGAATAGGATGAGAGAAAATGTAGATTAGGTGGTTTAAATGTGGATTAAAGTAAAGATCTCATATTACTTTATTTTTATGTGGAATATATGTTGTAAATTATATATTGTACTCGATGAAAGTTGGAATAATTGAAATGTTTAGTAATTGTGCGTAAATTGGATTTCTTCCTATTGTTCAAAATAGTTTGATGATACGAAGTTTATCGGTTGGAGTTCATTTTACGTAACCATAGCAATCTTGTGTATTATTCTTATGCTAAAAATACGAAACTAATGTCCATTCGTTCAAATAAATTCATAACTTGAAAAGATCTTCGACAGTTATCCATTTGTAATGGAAAGTCTTGAAACTAAATGACATGGTAATAAATATTATATTAAGATTTTTATGATTGGTTTTGTATTCGATTGAAGTCTTAAGTTTATGTCTATTTGAAAAGTAGACAATTTGGTGTAGATGTGGGATTCAGTCAGAGATGGTTGAGTTTTAGTGTATAAGACAACTTTAACTTCAAGCAGCTTTTGTAGTCAAAGGGTGGCAAAATTGCCAATGTCTTAAAATTGAAATCTGTCGGAATAATCAAATAGGGCTATGGCCACCTATGTGATATTCATTTAAAAACTCAACTGAATCGACATCGCGGACATGAATACATTCAGGCGTCAAAGGGACGACTTCTGAACTTTGGACTCCAGAATATTAGGAGGTGGTCAAAGGGGAGGACTCAAATGAAGAATTGGGGAAAGATTTTATTCCCATCTCCTTCACGGCCCACTCCCACTTGTGATGCTTTCTCTTAGCTAAAATCGTAGCACGTGCCTTTGTCGTAGGTGATAATTAACATTTGCAAATCATAAATGTCCAAATACATGACATGAATTTGTATTTAAAAAAAGTATAAGTTATCATCTGTCGTTTGGTATTTTTTGCAAATGGCAAATATTTTATTTTCTCTAAAAGGATGTTTTAAAAAATACGGAGTGCTCGTTACAAAACTACCCCAAACGGAAGATGTCATAATTTGGGCGACTAAAAAATTCAATTCAACTTTATTCAATTATATCAATCAATGTAAGTTCTATTCCATGTGGCGTTCTGTGCGTTAGTCATGCAAAATATTTACCAATTTGAGTTTAAGGCCAACCGACAGTAATAGCGTGTGTGTTTAAGCTTTTATTAAAGGCATGCTAGTCCTTTGATAACTCTCTCATTTTCGTTTCAGCGACATGCCAAAGCCGATTACTCCAGAGAAAATCTCTTCCCAATGCCAAGCTGCATCCGACTTTGTTCAAACTGGAAATTTTGGGTTGTCTTAATAAGTCTTGCCTGTATTATTTGCATCATTTTTATTGTTATTTGGATAAATTGGACCAGATCGCGTTCTGGCAATGTTTGGGGCGATGAAGGACCATTGGGGCCGGAGCAACCCCCAGCAGTTTGCTATAAATGCAGCAATTATGCTCACATTATGGATGGCCGAGAGTTAAACTCTAATATTGATATTGAGCGTGGAGAAGGAGGAGGCGCAGAGGTTGGAGGAGCTCTAGGAATAGCCGTGGAAATCGAGGGTCCACGTCAGGAACTCTGTCAGGAGGTCGTGAATCGAACAGCACTGGCAGAAACACAAGTGCTTAGTAATGATGACTGTGGAGATAGTTTGTACAATGGTTGTTTCAAAATGATCACAAAGACCTATCGCATGACCTCAAATATTGGACATGAGCTGTTGAGTGTTACAATTGTGACAAGAAATTGTGTAGAAATACCGAAAGGATTCCCGTTGGGGTGCTATAAAACATTCGGTGGAGGAGGAATGGAAAGAGAAACGTGCTATTGCAAAGGAAATTACTGCAATTCAGCCTTACCATTACATAGTTCTCTTCTATTGCATTTGTTTTTGTTTACACTCGCCAAACTTTTCCGATGAAACTATGTTGCTTATCCATGTTTATCATTTAAAAGTAAAGATCTAAACTCAAACAAATGCCTGATTTGATATTTTGGTACAAAAGGAATACAGTTTTGAGCACTTAAAGTTCAGTTCTTTACTATTAAAATTATGGTCGAAATATTTGCGGGACCTACATTAAATGAGCATTTCTTTAAAAGCATCACCGAAATGGTAGATGTTCATTTAACATTTAATTGTGACATTTTTCGTAGTATGGAATAAGGGAAAGGTGGATTCAATCACCTGCCCAATCTCCATACGTAATCATATTCCCACTTATTACGAGCATAAAGTTAGCGGTAGTTAAGTAATTATGCAGCCTTGGCAGAGATTGAAATAGCTACTGTTTTCAGAGGTGGCCCAAGGTAGGTTAGTAAACTGTTGACGAAATGGGCATTAGCGCCTTTATGGAGCAAAAAGACGTAGACTTTAGTTGAGCAAATGTACCATGATAAACGGGGTTCAATAAGAGTGGAAGTAAGGAAGTGCTAGGAAAGGGAATTGGGATGAAAGAAGGAAGTGTTACTACTAAGCAAATAAAACCGTAATTATGAAGGAGAGGAGAACATGACCATAACCATTGACAGACTGAGTAAAGACAGAGTTTAGTAGGCATAAAATGCACAGAGAGACTGAGCAGACCAGTAGATTAGGGAGGCGCAATTCTTACTTGGTGTAAAAAAGGAAAAATAATCGACCCCGCGTTTTATTATAAAAAATATAATCGAGGTGGGGGGGAGATGGTGGGGGGGGGGGGGTCAAATGAAATCCTTTCGTCAAATGCCCGCTGAATGGCAAAAGGGATGATTCAAAGAGGTTTAGAGAGCATCATCAAAGTATCAAAGAGTCCTATTTCCTTTGATCTTTCGATTCGGGACGTACAGTGTTAGGTGAATGGATAGAACGCGTTCAAAAATTTAAATGCTATGATTAGTCCCCCTGGATTGTATGAAATGCTTGTCAATAATATTCTATGTTTATTGACCGGATTAGAACAGTTAAGCCGAAAGGGTCCAACGGTATCTAGCCATTTTTACTCAATGGTTTATTATTTTCACGACTGGAATTCACCTTTGATTGAACCCAACTCATAGTACCCAACCAATTTAAAATGTTTATCTCTTCTAACTCTGCTATGTGAAAACGTTAATTGTTGAATACCATATAGGACCATCACATTCGTTAAACAATTTCACATTGATTATCTTTCAGATACACCCATGTAAGTAATCTACTGAACCACTTTAAGCACAAAATGTCTGTCGTGCACTCTACGCAAATAAGCACTTGAATAGACCTTAGCAAAGCGTCTAAAATTCCAATTAGCTTCAGGCAAGCGCAACAAGCCGCTACCTGAATCATCCAACCAGGCTACATCTGACGTAGTGATAACTCAGTAGGCACAGTGTGAAAGGAATTATACTGCAAATGCTTCATATTTGCGAGCACAGTTAACGACACATTACGCGAATGTGGATTATCAATAGGCTTGGAGGCCACTGCACGAAAGCTCGAGATTGATCGATACGCGATACTAAGCAAAATGTTTTAGATCGTGGCCCTTTTGGTCAGCCTTGATAGCTTATACACTCCACAGGTTATACTTCTACTGCGGGGTGCGTAATAGACTTACCTCCACGTGGTGCACCCTGGGCAACGTATACTCATGCGACAAAAAAGTCTATTAACTGGCAGTTGACATCTGGCTTCTAACTACCATCACCCCACTGTATGTCATATTCGTCTACTTCACAGTACTCACTTCACCTCTTTTCTACCTTTGTGTCTCTCTATTACATCTTTGAAACACTCTTCTGTCCCCCCCCC